GGGGGGGAATGTTAGCCTACTGCCCTGGGAATTTCTTGTTTTTTCCTCACCCCTCAGGTGAGAAGGTTGCAATTGGTGAATGTTGGTTTGTTTGCTTGTTGTTTGTCTGCCACCCATCTTGCAAAGAGGCATTTATATTACATGACCCACCCAGGAACATTGCAACCGTCATAAATACATGCCAGTGGCCCAAAATCTGATTGTCTGATTTTGGGGACAGGTGCAACAATTGTAAATGCAAGGACAAATTTTCAATCAATCAGAATAGAGCTAGAAGGCACCTTAGAGGTCTTCTAGTCCAGCCCCCCCGCCAAGCAGGAGACCCTGTACCATTTTAGACAAAGGGTTGTCAAATCTCTTTTTTAAGTCATGTTTTCAGTACTGTTGTAACTTGGAAGGGTCATTAGTTTTAAGTTATTAAACAAACAATGTTATGGTTTAATGCAGTGTTCATAGCCAATAAACATTTACAACACAACACATGCAGCTAAACCAAACAGTTGTGTTCATGATTAGGAAATCCGAGCCCAACTGCCCACCCCATCCCAGAAAAGGTATTCTTGGATCCTATCCACAAGTGGTGCCAGATTGGTTTTAAAAGTGACCAGAGGTTTTTATCAGAAAAACAGAAGAGGCTTTATCAGTGCTTACGATTGATAATGGGCAAACTAAATGAGGCGCAGTAAGAAGATGTTCAAGAATGGAACAACAAAAGGGCAGAGGCAAGATCCGGAGGGCTTGGCTTTTGATTCCACTCGTTTATTTGAGCTTCCCCTTTGAAATTGAGATGCAGATTTTACTCAAGAAGGTTAACTTTAACAGTGTATATTCCTGTTTTACTTATTTTATTCTGCTTACTCATTCCATGTTTGTATACTGGATCTCACAGGTATTATCCTCTCTCTTTTACTTTTCTTTTTTTTAACCTGACCAAAGTGAATAAAATCTACTCTGTCTATTTCTAGACACACACACTTTTTATAGGATTCTCTTTTGACCACCGTGCTTCCAAAGCAGCTATAAAATACCCTTGGGGGGAAAGGCACAATAATAGCTGCATGACTTTAAAAAAGAACATAAGGCAGTAAAGTAAGGTTTGGAAAAGAACGAATTACCCTGGTTTAAAAAATTACTCATTACATAAGGGGAAGCACCATGCAAATATTCATGTGGTGAGGAGGAAAGACCAGAGAAGGAGACATGGCAGCTGCTATGGTGGAATTAAAAGCAGCTGCAGTAATGCATGCAAATACCTGGTTGAGCATCTTTTATTATCAGTCACTGCAAATGGAATTGCGTAAAATAGATTACAATGGTTAACTAAAAGGAAAAAAAACCCACAGTTTAAGGCTACCTTCTCCATCTGGCATTTTTCAGATGTGCAAGATGACAATCCTGCCATGCTAAAGGATGATGGGACTTGGCATCCATAGTTGGATTGGTCCAAACTGGAATCTGTTCTCTGATTTCTCTGCTAGCGCTGTAAAAGTTCTAGCTAATAGAATCTCTCACAGAGGGTGTGTAAGATGTATGAAGAGGTACAACTGAAGCACAGTCAACTCATACCGTTAGTCCTCAATCCTACGACCACAAATGAACCCAAAATTTCTGTTGCTATGCGAGGCAGTTGTTAAATGAATTCTGCACCATTTTTCAACCTTTCTTACCACAAGTTAATAACTTAGTAACATGGTTAAGTGAATCTGTCCCATTGACTTTACCTTGCCCAGAAGGTCACAAATAGTGATCACATGACCCCAGGATGCTGAGCTGTCTTAAATACAGGTAGTCTTCAACTTACAACATTTCATATAGTGACCGTTCAAACTTACAATGGCATTGAAAAAAGTGGCACGACTATTTTTCACAATTGGAACCTTTGCAGCATCCCCAGGATCATGTGACCAGAATTCAGATGCTTGACAACCAGCTCATATTTGTGACAGTTCCTGTGTCCCAAGATCATGTAATAACCTGGTTACTATCTTATCAAGTGCAGTGATTTACTTAACTGTGGCAAGTAATGTCATAAAATGGGGCAAAACTCAAAGAGGAAACTGTTAAAGAAACAATGATAGTCTGGGCGAGAAATTTTGGATATAATATACAATTAGAAGATTGGGAAAAATTATGGACCAAAATTATAAATTAACTGTGGCTGCCGCATATAAAGAGAACCTTTATAAAATGCTTTACCGTTGGTATCTAGCACCAGCAAGATTGGTGAAAATATACCCAAATATGAACCCTGAATGCTGGAAGTGTAAAAATAAACAAGGGTACCTTCTTTCACATGTGGTGGTCCTGCCCTAAAGCAAAAGAATACTGGAATAAAATTAGAACATGGTTGCAAGAAGTTACTGAATTTCAAATAGAATTTAAGCCTGAAATGTTTCTGCTAGGAATGTTCACAGGAATGTTTAAGAAAGAAATTGAATACATCATAATACACATTCTAACAGCAGCAAGAATAACCTATGCCCAGAGTTGGAAATTAGATAGCACTCCCACAGACAGTATGATTATAAAGAAAATTATGGAGAAATGGTAAAACATTGAAATTGCAAGAGAGAGAAGAGAAGGAATATTATACAGTCTGGAAAAATGGTACAACTGGTTGGATAATAGGACAGTAAGAATAAAAAATATAAACATACATACATACAAACATACATGCATACATACATATAATAGAAACTGGGAAAGTCGATGTCACAACACTACAAAGATTGTATTTGTGTTGTTTTGTTGTTGTGTTGTTTTGTATTTGTGTTGTTTTTAACTGTGAAAAATTCAATAAAAATTTATTTTTTAAAAAATGGAGCAAAGCTCACTTAACAAATTCTCACAACATAAATTTTGGGCTCAGTTTTGGTCCTAAGTTGAGGATTACCTGAACATGCCAGTTACCAAGTGTCCGAAATTTGAGTATGTGACCACAGGGATGATGCTGCAACAGTCTTCAGAGTGAAAAACATAATAGCTTTTTCCAGTGGTGTTATAACTTTGAACAGTCACTAAATAGATGGTGGTAAGTTGAAGACCTGTACTTTTTTTTGTTGTGTCATTGCTCATGTCCTTATTCTGAAATTCCTGTCCCCAGAACCTTCCACAGAGCTGAAGGAGCGACCCGATACCCGCTCTTATCCCTTTCATGGGTGATAAGAAGGGTCATTACTCCCAGAAATAGCTTGGTGGGGTCTCCTCAGGGCACTTTGCTCTTGAGATAGCTAAGGAAACCAAACTTAGCTCAGAAACTGAGGGCTTTTTCAGACTTTGTGATATTGTGAATTGGCACTAAAGTGGGGTGGGCTTGTCAAGGCAACCAGGAAGTTGAGAGTTGATAGTGTCGTGAGGTGGAGTAGAGCTACGGAGAAGACAGGGCGTCTTGGACAATCTTCCACCTCATGTTCTGATACCCATGAAGGCATTGTTTTGTTACTCAAAATTGAAGAGAAACATTTCCAAACCAGAAAATGGGAAAGAAATTAGAACATCTGTTCCATATCATATTGTTTTTGTCAGATCATCTGCCATATCCTTTTTTTCCTACTGCTTCTTCACAGATACCCAGCCAAAAGGTCCAAACCTTCCAAATATTTATCTATCAAATTTATTTGCTTTCTATCCCACCGTGGAACTACTCTAGGCAGCTTACAGCAATAAAAAGAAAGGAAGAAAAAAAGTGCAAACAAAGCATAAGTAAAATAACAAAACAATGAAAAAAGAAAATGAGAAAACTTCAATATGATAACAAAAGATCTTCATAGGTTGTCTGAGTGAAGAAAGATGGAGGAAGTGATGAGGAAAGATGGCAAAGAAATATAAGTTGCTAGCAATGCCAATTGTGTGAATGGGGGAAGTTGATTTACCCAAACAAAAGTGTGGGTAGAAGCAGCAAGGCACACTTAAGGGCTTACACCATCATTTTTGCACAGATTCTCCTACAAAAGAGCATGGAATCGCATCACAATCTTCCAGATTTGGGTGTTGGTAGGGCTTTAGGGGGCCACAAAGAAATGAGAAAAACCACATGCAATCTTGGGCTGTATATACTTGATAAGTGGGTTGCATCACATTGACCGTCCTTCCGTGCTTGTTCTCTGGGTTTCCAAAACACTGTTGTGGTTTTCCATTTACCTCCAAAGTTCTCACGTCTTCCCAGCGAGACGTTTGTGCTGCATGGGACAGCAAACAGCAAACCAAAAGGAGGATTTAGAAGCCAGCGAACCTTTTCTGGTTCTCGGTAGGAGTCATAAGACTAACAGATCTACCACACACAGCAAGCACTGAATCACAGTTCAAGTATGAGTTGGCCACGCTGTTCTCAAGTCTGCAACACATTTCAAACCATTTGAATTGGCAGCTTTAGTGCTCCCATTAATGTGCAATTTTTGCCTTCAGTTGGGGAAATGCTACTCCCCAAAGACCCAGTCCATGTTGATGTCTGCAGTTGCAGTTCATGTCCTGTAGGGGGCATGATAGAACAGCACATTCTGGAATCCAATGCATTTGATATTACGGATTTATATGCTGTATTATTAACTTTCTCCAAATAATAACTTTGCTCTTGTTCATTTAAACAGACAAATACAGGAAAACCTTTCCTATTGATCTCCATCTTGTTGGACCACACAGTCCAATGCCAAGTTCCGTTTTAAGTGTAGGGTATTTTCATGCTACGATAACAACTGTGTCCCTAATTTAGAAAAATAAGCAAGTGTCTCGAGCATATTATCACTAGTGTCTCCATAATTATCTCAGCTTTTGGAGAGCACAGTCCGTGACACCAGATGCCTGAGATATTCTAAATAAAAGTATGTATGTTAAAGATAGCTTCTTGGCTTCTAGAGATACAATCTTTTTTTTTTGGTGGGCCACACTATGAAAGAGGCTTGCTATTGCTTTCAACATCCCCTAGTGCCCTGTCCAAAGCATTAATTCCAACGCTGCTTAGCTTTTGAAGATCAACTCAATGCAAGATTGGAGCCAAATGAAGTACAGAAAACTTGCTTTGCCACTAAAAGCTTAAACTCGATAACATAATTTGAGGTTTTAAAATAGCAGTATTGATTATATGATTAGTGTTACCAGATGCTGACCCACAAATCTAATACCAAATGTTTGGATTACAGTTCCTACAAACACAAAGGGAATTATAGTCCCATCTATACTGGGAGGGGTTGGTGGAAGAGTCTGAACTAAGGTGTAATGTTTGTCTATCAACTTGGTGATTTGGTGCATAAGCCTATCTTGGGATTTTAGTGATGACATTTATCTTAGCAGGGAAAAGTGCTGAATAATACTGAATGAATAATTAGATACTGAAACAGTAAGCAGGATCAGGCTTGGTTAGTTCATATTAGAGAAGAGTCCACCAAATAAATAAATAAATAAATAAATAAATAAATAAATAAATAATAAAATGAATGGAGATAGATATAGATCTAGATAGATAGATAGATAGATAGATAGATAGATAGATAGATAGATAGATGGATAGACGATTGTGCCCATGGAGTCATGAGCTGAATTGAGTACATCTTTACTCTTTTCTCCAGAGTCAAGTTAGATTCCTGGAAAATTAGTTTTTTGGCAGAGAGGCAGATGCGGGGACAGATTAAACAAATATATTTTCAGGGAGCCCTTAGAATGCAGTATTGCAGGCTAATTCTGCTGACTTCCAGCTGCCTGCAATTTGGCAGTTCAGATCTCACCAAGTTCAAGGTTGACTCAGCCTTCCATCCTTCCGAGGTCGGTAAAATGAGGACCCAGATTTGTGGGGGCAACAGGCAGACTCTATAAACCACTTAGAGAGGGCTGTAAAGCACTGTGAAGCGGTATATAAGTCTAAGAAGTGCTATTGCTATTACAAGCAGGGAAACATTGTTTTGATGTGTTGAAATGAAAATCTCCTAAAACCTCTATGTGGTAGTCAGTCCATCACCATTAAAGATCAGAGCTTCAGCAAATGACTTCTGTGAGAGATGTCACAGATGTAATTCACTTTTTTTAAAAAAAACGCAAATGCAAAGTGACGTGTATGTATAGTGCAGAAAGGCCAGGAATATTTTAGACCAATTCTCAGCTGCTTTACCTCTCCTGCAAAATGTATGCCCACCCAAGAATTTCACTCTCACAAAAATCTGCAAAGTGAGGGGCTGCCACAAAGAGAAGGGGGTCAACTTATTTTTCAAAGCACCTGAAGGCAAGACAAAAAGCAACGGATGGAAACTAATCAAGGGGAGAAGCAACCTGGAGTCAAGGAGCAACTTCCTAAAAGTGAGAGCAATCACCCAGTGGAACAGAAGTTGCCTCCAGAAGTTGTAGGAGCTCCATCACTGGAGGTTTTTAAGAAGAGACTGGACAGGCATTTGATTTTAATGGCATCGGGTTTCCTGCCTCAGCAGGTCCCTTGCAGTTCTCCTCCTCTGGGTTTGGACAGGAGTTTCTCCAGTTGATTCTTCTTGTAAATTCACCCCCACCCCCCAAAGAATATGTCACTTTAGATTTCTTTCAAAAGATCACTCAAAGTATTTTTGGTCTTGCAATTTATTAGATGCCAAGAAGAATGCATCTCTCTTTTAATTTGTATCACTGAGATTGACTCATTTTATAAATGATGGTTAGGAGACTTATATTTTCAAAAAAATTACTGAAGACTTGGAACCACAATAAAATTGACACCAATACTGAACATTTATTGGCATGGGTTGGGGAATTCTGGGAGTTGAAGTCCACACATCCTCAAGGTGCTGAAGTTTAAAAAGCAGGTCTTCTGCAATTTTCTAAATTAGAGATAGTCCTTGACTTACAAACATTCCTTTAGAAAATGTTTGAAGTTACAATGGCATCCCTATATGATCAAAATTTGGGTGGTTGGCAACCGGCATGCATGTATGAGTGCAGCATCCCATATGGTCATATGAATCTTCCTAGCTGGTTTCCAACAAGCAAAGGGGAAGCTGGGTTCATTTAACAACTGCATGATTCACTTAACAACTGATTCTCTTAACAAGCATGGCAAAAAAGATTGTAAAACCAGGTGTGACTTTCTTAACCGTGTTTGCTTAGCAACAGAAATTCTGATCTCAATTGTGGGTGTCAGTAAATAAATGTTAATTTGAGTTTCACAATACAAAGTAGATCCAGCAATGAAAATCTTAAACTGAACGGAGACGTTTGCATTTAGTGTTCTCTATCCAATAAAGCACATAAAATAAGACTGCCCTATACCTCAGGAGAAAATTAATTGATGTTAAAGTCCTGAGGTCAAGTTTTAAGTATGTGTCTGTCTCAGAGGATCTAGCGTGAGGTCTTTCAAACTAGGTTCCATGGGACTAGGTATAAAAAAAATAAACTTTCTCTGCAAGGACTTAAGGAAAACTATCCACAAGAGGTTCAAAGCTAGGAGTTCAGAATACAATTAGCCAGTGGAGTGGACAGAAGGTAAGTCTCATTAGAAGGTCCCTGCCCTTCTTTCCTCTCCAATTCTTTGAGGAGGTTTGCAAGCCCCCTCTCCTTGACTGTGGGAAGGAATCTCTTCTAGATTGAAGCCATTGTTTGCATTCAGTCTCATAACAACTTTGTGGTGGTCATCCAGCACAAGGGCCAGTGAAGTGCCCCCAGAAAGGACCTCTTGCACAACACACAAAACACAGCATAAGAGTTGGACAAGTCTCTGGAGGTCTTTTGAGTCAAACCCCCTGCTCAGGGAGACTGTATACCATTCCAGACAAAGGGTTGTCCAAAATCTCTTCTTCAGAACCTCCAGTGATGGAGCACCCGATTTCTGGAGGCAAGCATGCCATTAATTGTTCATACTCAACCTCACCATTTCTCCTTAGTTCTAGGTTGGATCTCTCCTTGAAAAGTCTCATCCATTACTTCTTGTTTTGCCCTCAGCTACTTTCCTGTCTCCCTGAGCAACTGGCAATGAAAGGACAAATTGACTCAATACTGGACCATTATGACTAAGAGCCATTTAAAGGCCTTCTCAGTGCTTTGAGTGCTCTGCAAGTATAGGTAGTCCTCAACATACAACTAAAATTGAGCCCAACATTTCTGTTACTAAATGAGACATTCAGGGCAAATTAAGGCAAATTTTGCTCCATTTTACGACCTTTCTTGCTACACGTCAAATGAATCACTGTAGTTGTTAAATTAGTAAGATTAAGTGAATCTAGCTTCTCCGTGTGGTCACATGGCCGTGTATGTGTGAAAAACAGTTATAAGTTACTCTTTTCAGTGCCATTGCTAAATGAACTATTGTAAGTCGAGGACTACTGTACTCATGAACAGGCCTGGCTGAGGAAAAGGTATTTCCTCTCATTGTGAGCTCCAGGGGACACCTGATCAACAAGCAGATGAGCCACATTCAGCAAATCTATCCTAAATTAAAGAGGGAGATGGAGAGAAAGTCTATGAAGAAAACTTACCTATAGAACATAAACAGATCATTTTTAGAGGTTGGAATGTTCCATGGAGAGGACAAAAAAAATCCTTTACCTAGAAAAACTCAATTATGAAAAAGTTCTTTCTGAAATATGTGCTGGGCCCAGAATGTCTTCAAGGCCGATCTTATTTTAAAAGGTCCTCAATACAACACAGATCCAAGAAACCATCCCTGACTCATTTTAGAAATGCGAGGAATTTATTATTTTTATAAGAAATTAAAAAAAAAAACAATACTTACAAATTTAAGTTACCATAAGACTTGCAGCAATATATCTTTATATACACAACTATAATCTCCTAATATTTTTACTTTTATTTTAGCAGGTCTTCAAGTGGACTCATGACGCACGTTCAGGATGAGTTATCAAAAGTCTCTGATCACATGGTTTTAGACAATCTTGCAAGACGAAAATACAGCCAGTCAAACTTTATAGGGACTGAAAAATATTTCAGCCTGGATATGCAATACAGTTTTAACTATCTGCAAAAGGGAACCAGCAAACCCTTTCAAAAGAAATCTCTGTATGTTCACTTTACAATTTGTTAGACCTTGGAATACAAAAAACATCACAGACGTCAACAAGGATGTTGTTTGACAACACAGACACACATAACAATGAAGAGATACTTTAAAGTGGACAGGCAACCATGCAATTGGTCAAATTCTCTTCCTGCACTATTTGAGTTCATCAGATGATGAATTTTACTGGGATGCTATAACCAAAAATATTTCAGATATTTTGCTCACAAGCCATTCAAACCACACCAATAGACATATTGGATAATAGTATTCCAGGGAGTTTTGAAGTGCCGCAATGAAGACAACAATGGTGTGAGCATGTGCATACACACATATGTGCAACACACTTCCTTGAAAGGTTACTAAACACTATCCTCTGAAACGCGTACTTAACACTTTTTGAAAGCTGCCTGATTCCAGGATTTTGCCCTGCAAGGATTCAAGTCCATTTGCTTTCCTAAAGACGACAGTATTTCCATGAAGGGGCGTGTGTGAAAGGACATCCTGAAACTCAGCACCAAAGGCAGCTGAAGAGCAAGAAACACCCCTATAGTTTTGGAACAAGGATGTCGAGGTGATTCTCCTTAGGAGAAACATTTGCTTTACTAAAACAATCGGGGAATGTTACTGTGATCTGATCCACTGATGCAGCAGAAAATGGAAGATATAGTATAGATGTGCAGGATCCAATAAAATTATGTTGGAAGAACTAATTATTTATCAAGGGAAAACTGTTCTTTCTCTATTAGAGGTCCTCCAAGCCTCAACCCATGTATTTTTGTAGCTGTAAGCTAACCCAGAGCTGGAATTCTTGATTCAGGGACATTCTCAAGTGTGTTTTGTCTCCTCTTTTCCAGGAAGATGGATCTTCATAAAATCCACGGTCATTTCCTTGTTTCAGAGAATATGAAGGGTGAAAGTTTGTTTTCTCCCAATAAGTTTTTTTCATCTGTGTCACTAAGTAGAAAGTAACACAGATTCTGCATGTGCTTCTGTTGATGGACTCCAGAGGCCTTTTTCCTTGCTGGCATTAAGCCCTCCCCTAAATAACAAAACAGGAAACGCGGGTTTCCTTTCAGTTCAAAACATGCGTGAAACATGCATTCTGGTCCAGGTCAGACTCTTAGTGAAGCTTCAGGCAGGCATTCAATTTGTGGAAGCTTTGCTGCTAAGGAGGTACAGGTCCATTCTGATAATTAGGTAGGATATTCTTGAGTGCTTGAGTAGAAAGCAATCTGGCACTTAAACCAAGGAAGATGCTTGATAACTTGGACAAAGTAGAAGGACCTGCAGAACCTGGGGTGGGTGGGGTTAAAAGAGGGATCAGCCTAGAATCCCTACGTAGCCACAGGCAGAAGTAATCTTTTTAAAATTCTTCTCACACTCCTTCTCCTACAGCCAGGTTCCTAAGCATTCTCCAAAGTGACACCAGATGATAAACGAACCATCGTGACATTTGCAGATGCCTTAAGTTTTTATCCTAACATGCCACAAACACATTCAAGACCATGGACCATGAAGAGAACTAGTAAGAAGGCGGGGCCTGTTCAGAAGAGTTAAACAAAAGACACAAGAGACAGGAAGTCCTGCAAAGACCAAAACCCACACGCTCCAAATACTGCACCACAACGATCAAGGTCACCTTGCCAACCGCTGGACCAAATGGGAGAAAGGGGCTCGCAGAAGGATGAGGGGGGCTACTCAGAAGCAACCCTGCCCTCCGGTGGAACTCAAGGAATTGGGAGCCTCCTTTTGAAGTACACGGATGCATTTCATTCTTTAGCTATCTAAATTCTCCTCGTCCTTAGAAAAGGTCACCTGCCACGGGACCCAACAAGGGCATCAATTGGCCGAGGGAACATCTGTTCCTCCCCCCCCCCCAAAACAAACGTTTGGGAAATCTATTTGGCTTGAATGAACTGTGGCAGCCCCTAAATCAGCATTATCCCTAACCTCTGGGAGTTTGCCCCAAAGTCCCCACCGGGCTCTGTCCTCCTCCACTTTGAGAACACAGAATACAACAGTAGGCCACGGGTCAGTGAGGTGGTGTTCCCAGCACAGCATCGCGGATCTCACAGCCTTTATTGCCCCTTTACTACGATTCTTCCAGCAGAGGTGAAGATCGCTTCAGGCCCTCTGGAGATCTGCTTGGTCACTGCCCCAAAGAGGCACGCTGTGGATGGTGCTTGGGCTGCAGCCGTTGCCGTTTGGGGTGTCGGTGGGAGGAGTGAGGCCCACTTCGCTTATCACCTGCCCATCGGGTCTGTCGCCTTCTTTCTTAACGATAGCGCTGTTGGCCAGCAGCACAGGGCTGTCATAGTCCTGGGGGGTGTTGAGCATAGGGGAGGTGGAACTGTCCAGCGAAGAGGCAATCCCTTTGGAGAAGGCAGGTGTTTCATTTGGCAGGAGCCCGTCTGAGAGAAGCAATTTCTGCATAGGTAGAAAGGAAGGATTAAATCACAGCGATAAAAATATGGGAATGTTGGTAAAACAAACAGAAAACTTAACTCCACCATGGAAAAAGTTATTGTTTGGTATTGCTGTCTTTTTCTGCAATTGGATGAGCACCTATGACTCCCAAGGCAGAGAGAGGCAATACTTATTTCTCTCTTGGGGTTTCTGTCCTTCTCTCAAACACACACATACACAGAGAGAGAGAGAGAGAGAGAGAGAGAAGGGGGGCACTTCTCATGCCTTTTTATTCCTTAAGATTTACATCCTGGCTTTTTTCCACAGAGCTTCAGATGGCTTACTTGAGGAAGCTCTTAGATTTGTGCTCTTAGTAGCTTACAATAATATTAAATACTAGTATGAACCATGGTGGCACAGTAGTTAGATTGCAGTATTGCAGGCTACTACTGCCCACTGCCAGGAGTTCAATCCTGACCGGCTCAAGGTTGACTCAGCCTTCCATCCTTCTGAGGTTGGTAAAATGAGGACCCAGATTGTTGGGGGCAAGAGGCTGACTCTGTAAATCGCTTAGAGAGGGCTGTAAAGCACTGTGAAGCAATATATACCTCTAAGTCCTATTGCTATTGTACAATGAAAACCAACAAAATTCTACAAAAGGGCCCAAAATGTCCTAGACAAAAAACTGAAATAAATAAAATTAGAAAACCAACCAACTTTTCAGCCCCTTCTTAATTTGTAGTACAGAAGGAACTGGTCTTGTATACTTCAAGCCAGAGAAAAGGTTGATGAGATGCTAATGTTTCCGTGTTATTTTTCTTCTAGATACAATTTTGGGATTCTTCTGCCCCTTGCAATGCAGAATAGCTGAACAGATGTTGCAAAATGAAGTTGGGGGTTCAAGCGGTATCAGGTGCACTCCACTCACGTGTTCCAGGTCTGCAGCGTTATTTTCCATCTGCAAATTCTGGCTGGTGCAGCTAAGCAGATGATCCAGAATACATTGCTTGGGATGCATCCCTTTATCAAAACGGTTATACATGCCACACCAGAACCTCAGAGAGAGAAAGTAACAGAAAACAATAGTTAAGAGATCCTTCAAATGTTCAAACTTGCAAGAGAAAGAGAAGGGAGCAGAAGGAAGTTGTCCTCATCTTTGCTGGATCAAGAATGACTGCCTTAAAGGAAGAAGCAAGTTTAATCCAACAGCTCTGATGGAATCAAGCTGCAAGGCTTGGAAGAAGAAGGTGCCTGGTTTCCCTTCTGCTACCCAACGTGAGGGTTAACTTGCACTGTAATCAATCCATAGTCCGATAACCATCAATCTTAGATGGATCGCCTATTGCTAACCTAACTTCAGTTTGTCATAAGTGGCAGCAGAGTTTCCAACTAAGTGAAAAATGGGTTGGCATAAAAACCTTTTTGCTTCAGGCAAAGAAAGACAATTACACCTTATTATTATCATGTCCATGAAGCAAATGGCTGCAAAATTTGGAGATCCAGTATATGCTTTTAGGCTCCTTTGGAATTGTGCAATTAAGACACAGTTGCTTCATCGCCTAGAGATTAAGTTCTCCAGATATTACAAAATAACCTTTGGGGATACTTTGGCCATAAACCTTGGTTTAATAAACCAAACTTGATTAATCAGTAAATAAACATTTTCTACCACTGCATTTACCTCCCACTTCCCTTTTCTTATGCTATAATCTCAAAAACTTTAAACCAGAGTTTCCTATTACAACCCAAGCAAGGATTTGTAGTTTAATGCTGGTTACTTCAAAAAAAGACAGCAGCAATGGTACAATGGTTAGAAAAGCAGCCCTGCAGGCTGACTCTGCCCACTGCCAGGAGTTTGATCCTGACTGGTTCAAGGTTGATTCAGCTTTCCATCCTTCCGAGATGGGTAAAATGTGAACCCAGATTGTTGGGAGCAAGAGGCTGACTCTGTGAACCGCTTCGAGAGGGCGGTAAAAGCACTGTGAAGCCATAAATAAGTATATTGCAATCTTTATTGACCGTTGCAGCATCCCCACAATCATATGATCAAAATTCGGATGCTTGGCAACTGTGTCATATTTATGACATTTGCAGTGTTCTGGGGTCATGTGATTCCCTTTTGTGACCTTCTGACAAAGTCAACTGTGTTACCAATTTAACAACTGCAGTGATTCACTTAACAATTGTGGCAAGAAAGGTCATCAAATGGGCCAAAACTCACTTAATAACATAAATTTTGGGATCTATTGTGGTCATAAGGCAAGGACTACCTGTATTGGTGGTTCAAAAGTGACTAGATTCAAACGAGCCCAGAACTTATTCCTAAACTATAAAAAGCAGAGTTTCTCCTCTCTAACAAAATCTCTTTCTTGATCTGCTTTTGATTTAATATTTCATAAACATTAAACAGCATGCACAGTGGGATTATCTGCGTTCAAGCTTCTCCTTTCCCCAGTCGTAACTCACTGGAAACTGAAGGGCAGCGTATTGGGCTGGAGAGATGTGTAAGCAGCGTATCCCTTGTAGAGTGGGTTTCTGAATTCCAGCTTCCTCTGCAGGAGAAAAGGCCACAGGGAATGTGTTTTCTCAAAGATTCTGCAAATAAGGGAGCAAAGAAGAACATCAGCACAGCAGCAAAACAACTCTCAATGTCGTTTAGATTACAGGGAACCAGCCTCGGAGGTTGTACAGTCTCAAATAGTTCATTCAAAAAAGGAGGGCAAAGTATCAGTGGTACTTTTAACTGCCATTTCTTCACACTTTTTCACCATTCATTAGAGTTGCAGAGAGATTCCTTCCTTATGACGAAGTTTCAGGATAGACAGAATCACAGCAGAATCACCTTCATTCTTATTTGCTTCATCTGCTAAGCCAGTGTTTCTCAACCTTTGTAATGTTAAGATGGGTGGACTTCAACTCCCAGAATTCCCTAGTCAGCCATAATGTTTTTTGGGGGGTGTTTTTTCCCCCAGCAGCCCTGGATAACTAATTTCCAGGAACTCCTTGTGGTCTCCCATCCTCACCCCACCTAGTCTTGAAGCCGCTAGTATTAGAATAGAGTTCCTCAACCTTGGCAATGTAAACATGAGTGGACTTCAATTCCCAGAATTCCCCAGGCAGAATGCTAACTGAAAAACAGGTACTCCTTGACTTATGAACTCAATGGAGCTTGCCCATTATGGTTGTTAAGTCAGAATGATTTTAAAATGGGTCACAACCATTTTTGCTTGGTCACTAAGTGAATGCAATGGTATTAAGCAAACCCATTGTTTGCTATGTTTACAACAAAAACATTGCAAATTGTGATCAGGTGACTTTAAGGTGCTGAAAGCCACAATTGAGGGCCAGATGCCGAGCAGTTGAAATGCAGTCACATGACCATGGGAGGCATCAGAACTGGTTGTAAGAACTTGGGGGGGGGTTCCATCGTAACTGTCACTACGTCAACCTGTCACAAATCAAGGACTACCTGCACCAAGCAAAGATCTGCTCCAAATTACTTCCTTGGAATCCACACTTGGGATAAATCCAAATCCTGGTTTAAGAGGCTTGCTAAACTAGGTTAAAACGTTGTCCAACATCCTGTTTTCAACCTGATGCATCCAAGGACCCCCTTATTTCTTAGCTGTGGGCATTTCATGAGACTCTTTTCTTCCATGAATTTGTCATTAAAACTTTCTAAAAAGGTATATATATGGACGCAGTGGGGACACTGCATGTAGCTCTAGCAGAGCCCACATTAAAAAAGCACATTGACACTGTTATACAAGCTGTATACTCACTAGCTTACATTGGGTTATTTCTTCAGTGTGGTCACATGAAAAGATATACTTAAATATTTACAAAATGTGAGGGGGAGTACTCACTTCTGTGATATACTGTACATGTATCAAACTCTCCTTCTCCCAAAAGATAGCGAGTTTTGTTCTTAATGTTAATAGCGATAGCACTTAGACTTATATATCACTTCACAGTGCTTTACAGCAGGGGTGGGATTCAAATTTTTTAACAACTGGTTCTGTGGGCGTGGCCTAATTTGTGGGTGTGGCTTGCTGGTCATATGACTGGCTGGGCATGGCTTGTATGAAAATATTATAAATATTTATGTAAATATTGATTTTTTTATAAAAAAAGAGCAACTTTTACTCAAAATCAGGCAAAGCAGGCAGGCAGATTGAGTTGCTCGCAGAATCACAGATTCATTCAGAGATCTACCATTCTGCAATGTGCTACTTGAATCTGCACTGAAAAATAGAAGCTTCCGTCCTAAGGAAGGTTCAGCTCTGCTTTTAGATTAGCTAGAACTCAACAAATCCAACCATTTCCTGCTTTCTAGCTAATCTAAATCTCCCAGCACAGAACAGCTGATGGTCAGGGGGAGAAGGAAAAATAGCAACTTACCAAACGTAAGCAAGTTTGACAGTGCACATGCCAGGTAAGGAGTTGAGTGGGCGGGGAGGGGAGGGGCCAGCCAGTGGCGCGATTTGCCAGTTCTCTGAACTGGGCAGAATCATAACAACTGGTTCTATAGAACCGGTCCGACCAAAATATATGGGACACAATGAAGGCATTTATAAGAGGAACAACTATCTCTTACAATGCTATGAGAAATAAAAGAAAGTATGCCCAACAAAGTAACTTACAACAAGAAATTAAGGATTTAGAAACCCAACTACAAAAGAACCCCAAAAATCAAAGAATACAGAATCAGTTAATAACAACTAAACACAATCTAAATTTATTGGAACAAGAAAAATTAGAGAGTAGTCTGAAAATGACTAAACAAATTTATTTTGAGCACGCAAACAAGCCAGGGAGATGGTTAGCCCACAAACTTAAGAAAATGAAAGAAAAAAGATTGATACACCAATTAATGGACGAGAGGGGCAATTTGCAAGAGGAGATAGAGAAGAAAAAAGAGATCACTTTTAAATACTTCAGGAAATTATACAAAAAGGAAGACGTTTGTGAGGACAAAATAATGAAATATCTAGAGGAAGCAAATGAAAAAGCAATTGGAGAGGAAGAGATAGAATTATTAAACAAAAATATAACATGGTCCGAACTGAAGTCAGCAATAGAGAAGCAAAGTAACAATAAAGCGCCAGGACCGGACGGGATACCTGTAGAACTTTACAAAACAATTATAGAACAAATTGGACCACTGATGCTGGAAGTATTCAATGAGGTACTCCTAGTAGCCAAGATGCCGGACTCGTGGAGGGGAGCCTTAATTTCGCTGATCCCGAAGGAGGACCTAGACCATAGACTTATTAATAATTATAGACCAATCTCGCTCCTGAATGCAGATTACAAACTATTCTCTTCTATAATAGCTAATAGACTAAAACAGGTTCTAAACACACATATCCATGAAGATCAAAATGGATTTCTCCCATTTCGACAAATTAAGAATAATCTAAGAACAGTGATAGACATTTCAGAATACTACGAAGCCCATCCGGAAAAACAATTTGCTTTTATGTTTTTGGACGCTGAAAAAGCATTCGACAATTTAAATTGGCATTTTTTAATTCAAAAAATATACAATATGAACCTTGGCACTAGATTCGAAAATGTCGTCACTACAATTTACCATACCCAACAGGCAAATATTCTAATAAATGGGGAACAAACTGACCCGATAAAAATAGAAAAAGGGGTCAGACAGGGTTGCCCTCTCTCTCCTCTGCTTTTCATATTCGCCCTAGAATCTCTTTTGACGTATATTAGGCAAAATTCGAGAATTAGAGGACTGAGGATTAAATCAGAAGAGTACAAAGTACAAGCCTTCGCTGATGATTTGGTTTTTTTTCTGGAGGAGCCTATAGAAAAAGGACATAACTTATTAGAAGAACTAGAACGATTTGGAGAAGTCGCAGGATTTAAAATTAATAGGGGTAAAATGAAATTAATGTCTAAAAATTTAACAGGAGACCAGAATAAAGAACTAGAGACAATAATGGGAATACAGGTGACAAAAAAAATTAAATACTTAGGAATTTGGCTTACTCCACAAAGCAAATCATTAAAAGAAAACAACTATGACAAACTTCTCCAACAATCCAAGAAAGATTTAGATTCCTGGAGTACATTACAACTTTCCTTATTGGGCAGGATTGCTCTGATTAAGATGAATATTCTGCCAAAATTTCTATATCTATTCCAGACAATTCCAATCAAATTAAATAAAAAATTTTTTACGGAATTAAACAAGATAACACTGAAATTTATTTGGCAGGGGAAAAAAGCTAGGATTAATGTAAAAGCCCTACAAGATTTGAAAAGCAGAGGAGGGTTAGGCCTGCCAAACTGGGAAGTATATTACAAGGCAGCCACCCTACTATGGATAAAGGAATGGGTGAATTTAACTAACAAAAGAACACTAATATTAGAAGGCCACGATATGCAGAAAGGATGGCATGCCTTTCTGTGGGAAACTGGGAAACCCAGGCAATCATATTTCCATAGGCATCTTATCAGGGACTCTCTATTAACCAATTGGAAAAAAGTACGTAAAAAACTTTATCTAAAAATACCGATTTGGCTATCTCCAATGGAAGCGATAGTACACCCTAATAATTTGGATATAACTAAAATGATTAAGTACGAAAATTTATTAGACCCACAAGGAAAATTGAAAACCCGACAAGAATTACAAGAGCGAGGATTTAAAATTGATCAGTGGGTGTACCTTCAAATTCATAGTAGATATAAACAAGATATTAAGGAATTTGGAATCTACAATAAATTACAGACTTTAGACAAAATTCTATTAGGACCGAGCAAAAAAAATATATCTAAATTTTACAAACATTTATTAGAAACTGAATTAGAACAAGAAATTGTCAAAGGAAATATGATTGCGTGGAGCAGAAACGTGGGACGGAGCATTACGCTAGTAGAATGGGAAAGGATCTGGAACAGGAACATTAAGATCACGAAATCAGCAGCTTATAAAGAAAACGCATATAAAATGTTTTATAGATGGCACCTGCCCCCTTCGAGATTGGCGAAGATGCACCCCAACACGAGCCCCAATTGTTGGAAATGTCAAAGCATAGAAGGTACCTTCTTCCATTTGTGGTGGTCGTGCAAGGAAACCCAGAAGTACTGGCAAAAAATTAGGCGCTGGCTAGAGGAAATAACCAAGGAACAAATAGAGTACAAACCAGAGTCCTTCCTTCTAGGAATTTTCGATAAACAAATACCCAAAAAATCGAAGTATATTGTAATTCATATCTTAACCGCAGCCAGACTGGCATTTGCCCAGTGCTGGAAATTATCTTCCATTCCCTCTGAGCATATGGTTATTCAGAAAATTTTACAATGCGCCGAAATGGACAAACTAACCCAAGCACTAAAAAATAAAGAATCCTCATCATATTACAACAATTGGAATCCTTTGTATAATTGGCTAAACCAAAGATAGATCATCTCTAGGAAAATAATGGCCGAGGGCCTCCGAAGCAGAGATAAAGAAAAGCACCGCCGATGATACTTTTGAAGAAGAAAGGATCTTACAGACAGTCACAAAATATGGTTTTATTTTAACTGTTTTCCCTACTCTATTCTTCCCCTCCCTTACTCTTCCCTTTCCCCTCTCTTAGGCTTTCCTCTCTCTCCCTCTTGGTCTATGCCAAGGCCTATTTTTCTTTTTGTTGTACATAATTTGTAGTTGTGTTGTTCTTTTAAAGGTAAAACTAATAAAGTATTTTTCCAAAAAAAAAGAAGGATAGAAATTTCCATCCATTAATTCTTGTCCTGCCCTCAGCTACTTTCCTGTTTCCTTGAGCAACTGGCATCGAAAGGACATATTGACCTGGTACTGGAAACTTTGGTGATGATCATGACTAAGAGCCATTTAATGGCCTTCTCAGAGCTTTGAGTAACCTTTAATCATCCCAATCTCAGCACTATTGTGGCTCTGAATTTTGAGGCCAAGCCACATGCACAGAATGTTCTCCTTCTAATATAGGTAATCCTCAAATTATGACAATTGAGCCCAAACTTTGTTGCTAAATGAGACATTTGTTAAGTGAACTTTGCTCCATTTTACAACTTTCTTGCCACAGTTGTTAAGTAAATCACTGTAATTGTTAAGTAAATAAGAAGGTTGTTAAGTGAATCTGGCTTCTCCATTGACTTTGTTTGTCAGGTCACAAAAGGTGATCACATGACCTCAGGACACTGCAACCGTCATAAATATGAGTCAGTTGCCAAGCATATTGCACCTAACAATCTGGGTCCTCATTTTACTGACCTTAGAAGGATGGAAGGCTGTGTCAACCTTGAGCTGGAGAGAATCGAACTGCTGCAGTCAGCAGAATTAGCATTCTAACCACTGTGCCACCACAGCTATTCCATGAAACAGAGGGAACTCAAGATTCTGTGTATAGGACTCACTTTAGATCTTCTCGATCCTTCTGACAGGTCCCTAGGAAGTTGCCAAACTGGCAGGAATAGACATGATCATGAATTTCAAAAAGCAGCCGCTCGTTGAATTCAAACGCACAAGGAAACTGTTGCATGAGATGCCAGGTGCATTCAAGGAACTGTGTGAAGATGGGAGAGACCTCCTTGGGATCCCCTTCAAGATGGCCACACCTGGAGAGACCAAAAAACAAGCAGCAGCAATGCAGTGAATGTGGTGCTTGCAGGCAGTCCTCGACTTACAGCCATTCATTTAGCAGCCATTAAGGGTAGGCAATTACCAAAATAAATTATTTTAAATTGCAGTCAATCCTGTTTCCTCATTGCTGGGTGGTGCAGCAAGGATGCTGAAGCTAAATTGATCTCAGCTCCTCCAGGACCAAATACAAAATAAAAATAGGTAGTCCTCGTCTTATGATCATAATTGGGACCAGAATTTTCAGACCCAAGTCGCTGTGGTTGGAGTTGGAGCCAATTTTACAATGTTCATGGCAGTCATTAAGGGAATCGCCACAGCTGTTAAGCAAATCCTGCTTCCCCAATGGTCATTATTTGCTGGAAATCCGCAAAAAAAGTTGCCAATCATGATCACACAATCGCAGGCCACTACAAACGGTCATAAATGCAAACTGGTTGCCAAATGCGTCCGCAGTGAGGATGTGATAGTTGCAACTGCAAGCGTAAGGTCGTATTTGCAAAATGTCATGCAGAATTGCAAATAGGTAACAGCTCCACAGGGGTTCCCTAATCCCTTTTTCCCCTGTTCTAAACAGATTCTATAAAAACTGCAGTCCAGAAGTCAATCCTGCTTTGCTGAAAGGTATGAAATGAGATTAAGCGAGCACAAAAGGAGCCAAAAAGATGTGGAAATGGAGAACGAATCCCTTTTAGTGCCAATTTCAGCTGCCCCCAAATAATTTGAGTTTTCCTCTCCACCAGCAATTTTCCAAATGTTAGAATAACAGAAGAATTGGAATATTCTTTTTGAAATAATAATTTTAATTAAAAAGTCTTCTTGCATATCAAAGATGAACAAAAAGTAAAATTAAAGAAGAAGTAAAATGAAAAAATGATAAAGCAAATAGAAACAGGAATGGAAAAATATGTAGTGACTTCCAATATCTTTTACAGCAGTAAAACCAAATCTTCTCACTTCCCTCTTCAAACTTACATATTTTCCTTCTTCCCATTATCCAACCCTTTTTAAATCAGCAAATCCATAAATCAGCAAAAACCCTTTTTTCCATTCTCAGCAATAGGTCCATAAAATTTTTCCAGACTTCAATAAACATACTTGTTATCTTATCCCTGATCAAACAAGTCAATCTTATCATTTTTATTAATTCCATTATCTTCACAATCCATACGCAGTATTGTGAGGAAAAGTTCAGAGATCCTTATTTTTTTATTCTTATTTTCCCTTTGCCTGCCCCATGGTTTGTCTTTTATAACTTGCGCGCGCGCACACACACACACACACACACACACACACACACAGCCCCAGTTTAGGAGCTATTTCTTTCTGTTAATCATGCTCCAAGCAGAAAAGAAGACTTCTTATTCCACATTTATAATTCTAATACACAAACCTATTTTTACCTGTGTGAGAATTTATGGCCCATCGCAATCCACTCCTTCTCTATCAGAACCTTTAATGTTTAAATGAAAGAGGGGGAAAACAGAAATATGGCATTATAATGTGGCAATATTTATATAATTCAAATCCTACCTTTCAATCAAGAATAATGGAAGAGAATAGATGTAACTCAGGGTTGAACTGTGGGATCCTTGGCACTCTCTGATTATGGTGAAGACATTTCATTACCCAACCAGATAACACAATCAGTGCTTGTAAGCATGTAGTTTGTCCTGCCACTTTGGTGAGAGTGTGGTTTCCTCCTTGGTAGGTCCTTGATTAGGGTATTGTTTTCTGGTTGATTATTAGTCTGGTGTTATTCCCTACTTATCTGCTGTTGGCTGTTGCAGAGGATGTGTTCTGGTCTTTTTTTGGTTTCTTCTTAGCCTTTTCTGCTCTCTTTTGGATGATGCGTAAATGTGGTTTATCTCTAGGTGTCAATTGATAGTTGATATGTCTGAATACCAAGCTTCCAGAAATTCCTCACTGTTTTGTTCTTTATTTAGCTTGGTCTAATATGCTCACAGTTTTCCAGTGGAAACTATGGTTGAGTAAGGGCCCTCATCATGTTATCGTACTGCTTGTTTGGGTTCAGGGATGATCTTTGTTAGTCTTCTGCCTGCCTTCTACATATGTTGGGTAATGAAATGTCTGCAAGCAAACAACCAAGCTCAGACAGCTCCAAGGACAGCCTTCCCACCAACAGACGGCAGTCAAGATGGTTAACAGGAATAATTCAAAGGTGATGGAAACACAACTTAGTACATATCAAAGTACATAATAAAAGCAACAAAAATTCTTCAGCTGTATTATCCACAGCAAAATCCACGCAGATCAATGAAATTTCAGTGTCCTCAGATGTACGGATGTAATTTCAATTTGAAAAAGAAATTGGACATAGATAAAGAGGGCAAGCAGTCTTGGGATATAAAAATAGGATTTCTCTTTCCAAAGATTTGCTGCACCACCAGCTTTTCTTCCTCCCAGTTTGGTCCCTAAGTCAGGTACATATGTTTCCACTCAAAATTAAAACTTCCAAAATATGCTTCCTCAGCCTGGGATGCCCTTCAATAAGATTTCTTTATTTATTAGAAGGATTATTAAGGGCATGCAAGCTATTTCACATTTGAAATGCTCAGAGCGTACAAAGGGCCACTTGGGGTTTGGAATTCTTCCAGAATGGTTGAAACAACATGGGAACAGCTTTAAGAAAAGTATGCAAGTATTTCAAGTATTTCAAGTTTGAACTTGAAATGTTTTGCATACCAGGGCTGATCCAGGAATTTCTAGATAACCCCACTTCCCCAAGGAGCTTGTGAGCAAAATAGAAAAGTGTCATTAAGACATTCCACGTGTCCTTTCTGTTGAAAGACTGGTGGAAACAGATTGGGGAGAAAGAGAGGGGTCCAAGCAAACTTGGTGAAAAGAGTTTTGCTCGTCCAGAACCTTTCTCTAAGCCAAGGATGTCCAATCTTGGAAAATTTTAAGACTCAATTCCCAGAACTCCAGGCAGCTATGACATGATATGTGATCATTTATTGCATAATGCATACACAATAATATTGTTCTACAGATAGTCATTGACTTACAATCACTCTTTAGTGACCGTTCAAAGTTACCACAGCACTGAAAAAAAGTGGACTTGTGACCATTTTCCCCATCCACGATGGTTATAACGTCCCCAGGATCATGTGATAAAATCCAGGTGCTTGGCAACTGGCCCATATTTGTGATGGTTGTTGTGATCAGCTTTGTGACGTTCTGACAAGCAAAGTCCAATGGGGAAGCTAGATTCACTTTACGACGTTACTAATTTAACAGCTGCAGCAATTCACTCAGCAACTGTGGCAAGAAAGGTCACCGAACAGGGCAAAACTCACTTAAACAACTGCCTCGCTTCACAACAGAAATTTTGGGCTCAATTGTGGT